TTCACCTTTTTACACTTTTTGTTTTTTTTGGTTGAGTTTCCTCTTTGTATATTTTATTGAACCCAATAATTTAATTTTGACCAAAGTAAAAAGAAATGCAGAATCTGGCGACTGGAGGAAAGTTTGGTTTGCACTTTTATTTTGCAAGTAAGCACAGCGGTAGTTTTACAGCAAGACCAAATCAACACCGAAATCAATAAATCAATAAAATGTGAATGAAAAGAAAGTTCCAACAGAAAGAAAATGATAAAAGGTACATTTGTGATTATTTGAAATATTATAATTGTAGGGAGACACTGGCTGCCTCAGAACATGAAACCTATATCTCTGCATGGGAGGTGGGAGGGAACTGTCTCTGTATTGGTATGAAGGGTCTGTCCTCGGATGGGGGGTCTGTCTCAGTATAGAGGATCTGTCTCAGTACTGGGGGTCTATGCCAGTATGGAGGGTCCATCTTTGTATGAAGGATCTGTCTCTGGATGGTGGATCTGTCTCAGTATGAAGGGCCTTTCTTGGTATGAAGGGTCTGTCCCTGGATGGGTGGTCTGCCTCAATATAGAGGATCTGTCTCTGTACAGGGGTCTGTGTCAGTATGAAAGGTCCATCTTTGTATGAAGGATCTGTCTCTGGATGGTGAATCTGTCTCAGTATGGAGGGCCTGTCTTGGTATGAAGGCTCTGTCCCTGGATGGGGGGGTCTGTCTCAGTATAGCGGATCCGTCCATCTCAGTATAGAAGATCTGTCTCTGTACAGGAGGGGTCTGTGTCTGCATGGAAGGTCCGTCCATCTCAGTTTAGAGGATCTGTCTCTGTATTGGGGGTCTGTGTCATTATGGAGGGTCCATCTTTGTATGAAGGATCTGTCTCTGGATGGTGGATCTGTCTCAGTATGGAAGGCCTGTCTTGGTATGAAGGGTCTGTCCCTGGATGGGGGGGTCTGTGTCAGTATAGGGGGTCCGTCCATCTCAGTATAGAGGATCTGTCTCTGTACTGGGGGTCTGTGTCAGTATGGAGGGTCCATCTTTGTATGAAGGATCTGTCTCTGGATGGTGGATCTGTCTCAGTATGAAGGGCCTTTCTTGGTATGAAGGGTCTGTCCCTGGATGGGTGGTCTGCCTCAATATAGAGGATCTGTCTCTGTACAGGGGTCTGTGTCAGTATGAAAGGTCCATCTTTGTATGAAGGATCTGTCTCTGGATGGTGAATCTGTCTCAGTATGGAGGGCCTGTCTTGGTTTGAAGGCTCTGTCTCTAGATGGTGTATCTGTCTCAGTATGGAGGGCCTGTCTTGGTTTGAAGGCTCTGTCTCTAGATGGTGTATCTGTCTCAGTATGGAGGTCCTGTCTTGGTATGAAGGCTCTGTCCCTGGGGGGGTCTGTCTCAGTATAGAGGGTCCGTCCATCTCAGTATAGAAGATCTGTCTCTGTACAGGGGGGGGTCTGTGTCTGTATGGAAGGTCCATCTTTGTATGAAGGATCTGTCTCTGGATGGTGGATCTGTCTCAGTATGGAGGGCCTGTCTTGTAATGAAGGGTCTGTCCTCGGATGGGGGGTCTGTCTCAGTATAAAGGATCTGTCTCTGGAGGGTGGATCTGTCTCAGTATGGAGGACCTGTTTTGGTATGAAGGGTTTGTCCCTGGATGGGTTCGTCCGTCTCAGTATAGAGGATCTGTCTCTGTACCGGGGGTCTGTGTCAATATGGAAGGTCCATCTTTGTATGAAGGTTCTGTCTCTGGATGGTGGATCTGTCTCAGTATGGAGGGCCTGTCTTGGTGTGAAGGGTTTGTCCCTGGATGGGGGCGTCTGTCTCAGTATAGGGGGTCCGTCCATCTCAGTATAGAGGACGTGTCTCTGTACCGGGGGTCTGTGTCAATATGGAAGGTCCATCTTTGTATGAAGGATCTGTCCCTGGATGGTGGATCTGTCTCAGTATGGAGGGCCTGTCTCTGGGTGCGGGGGTTCTATCTCGGTATGGAGTGTGTAAATCTTAATCGGAGGTCTGCTTCTGGATGGAGAGTAAAATCGTATGAGATTTAGAACAGTTTATGAATTACAGATATTAATTTATAACCAAATTACTATTTGGCGCTGTTGAAGATAGATAATGTGTGGTCTTGGGACATAAATGAAGAGGAGAGGGTTACATAGTGAAAAGTTGCTTTCTAGCACTGTATGCCCTCACATTCAGGTTTGCGGTCAAGCCAAAGCCGTGGCACTCTGCTGAGTTTTCTCCGCTGCTTGGAACCCGTGATTAGTGACAAAAAATAGGAAGAGGTGACCAAGGCGTTCTCAGTCGTTAAGAAGGAATAGATATATGGCTCTTTGTGGAAAGGTTTTATAAAAGCGAAGACGGAGAAAGTGAAGATAGCGTCGGCCTGGAGGCCTACTACTGGACTTTAGAATGCGACCAGCTTATCTCTTGGGTTGACCTTGGGCCAGAGAGATAATCACTATCTTATGTCAGGTGGAACCATAAAAGGATTGGAATACTATTAATGAGGAGCAGCAGCCCTGTGATCTGTAACGTTAAATGAAAGTGTATCCTGCGGAAAGAAAGAGAACCGCGAGGTGTTCAGTAGAAGGTGGTGTACCCCGGATTATACTCTGGACTCCTCTTTTTTTTTTTCTTCTCTCTTTTATAGCCTCGCTCTATTAAAATAACCGGCCATCATTATGCAGAAAAAGAAAAACTCTCAACAGGCTAAAGGAGGGGCGGAAACACCACCGCGGTTAAAGGTAAACTCTAGCAGCCTGGGGGAAAGTGTTATAAAAGAGACTCATAAAGGGCCGATTTTGGGAGCAGACAGCCAGGTGCTGGAAGATATACACGCACTGGCGGAACTACCAGGGTCGCAGCGGTCGCGTTTGCGACCGGGCCCTGGCGTTCCGCCACTTAGGGGAGGGGCCCGGTCTGAAGGGGCGCCGGACAGGGATTTGTTTTCTACATTTAGCCCAGCTCCGGGCAAGCAGAACTAAATGTACAGCGGGGGAAGCCGCCGCTTGTTTTATACAAGTGATCTTTAGCTGTGGCTTTTGGGGTCCCCTGCTCTTCTGGGGACCCACGGCAAGGCAATTCAGGATGGAGAGCGGGGAGCAGAGCGGAGAACCTCCATTCTCTGCTCTGCTCCTTGATCAGTGACGCAGGACCGCGGTACTCGCATCGCTCCTGTGTCAGCTGTCACAACCTGAGCTGTACAGAGGATGGAGCATGGAGCTTCTGCTTCAGGAATAAGGATCTGTCTCTGTAAGTGGGATCATTATCTTTTGCTTTTTTCATGAATATACCCATTTACAAACCCATTACAATACAGAAAATAGAAACACGAAACACTAAGCGTACATTTTGCTTTCACCCTCATCCATTTATTTTCATTACTATTATTATTATTTGTAAAATTGTGCGTGATTTAGAATAGTTTGGGAATTACAGATCACTTTCTTCTTGCAGGGTTTATATACTTCTATTGGTGAGATCCCTGTGCTGAGTTCCCGGGTCTGTATACCTATTGTGCCCCTTAGGAGGGGTTCCCACCATCCCTGCTGGATTTGTATTTATTGTGTAGAATGAAGAATGTAATAGGAGGAGCTGGGACACACAAAGGTTAGCGGCAACGCCTAAATCTTCCAGGCGGGCAGGAACTATGGCAGCAAGATCTCACTGTTGGCGTATCCAAGACATATAAGAAGCCAGGAACGGACACACCCCACCAGACTACACCTAGAACTAAAATATTGCTTTTGAAAGGACTAAGCTTTAAGATGTTCTCAGTATAAGATATGACATTCTTGTTCATGGTGAATTCATGTCGCGCAGGCTGTACCACATTAAAGCTATAGCAGCAGAATATATCATTGATTCCTGGAGCTATTTACATTTCATCATTTTGGAGTGTGCACAGATCTCTAGCATGCAGGAATGGCCAATAACACATGGAATCGGTGAGGAGCCCATCATTCGGTTACTTGCTCATTTGGGACCCCAACATGATTGATCAGGAAGCAGGAATAATCCAGGTCCTCCCGGGATCCCTGTAATGATACATATGTGAGTTATTAAGGTGAGGAGATTATCCAACACTGTGTTTCCTAAGTCCTAAGAGGCTGAGTTAGTTTTATACATGATTTTTGGATTTATAGTTTACCGAGATGACTGCAAAGAGTGAACAATATTGGACAATCCCAGGTGCATTTGGGGTAAGAGGTTGGAGGAAATATATTTAAATCATTTATTGATGTCAGCTACTGTTGAGTTCTGCCTTTCTAAAATGTGTGATATTCTTTATGGGACATTACTGTCACGATCTGGGATCAGGCTCAGAGTCCAATAACTGAAACAGCCGGCAAAGTCCTAGTCAAACAGGCCGAGTTCGGTACACAAGCAGACGGTAGTAGTATGGGAGTAGGCGGAAGCGTAGTCAGAGATCAATCCGAGGTCAGTAGCCAAAGGTATCAGGTATGTAGCAGAAGACGATGAGAGTAGTCGGTGAATCAGCAGCCAAAGGTCGGTACACGGGTAGCAGTGTGAGTAGATTGTATCACAGGAGGAGCAAGGAAGCAAGATATTGGCAGGAGCACAATAATCTGGCAAACAGGAAGTGCAGAGGCGTGGCTTAAATAGGAAGTTCAAGGGAGGTGCAAGGAGTTCAGCAGAAACTAGGTTTAACTGAGGATTACACAGGAGACTAGGCAAGGAGCCATCCAAGGTTCTAAGGTGGCTCAGCAGGTAGAACCACTGCCAGCTAAGACAGAGACCATGGGTTCCCTGAGGGTATGATGGGGAATATTACAATGGGCCGAGCCAACGGATAAGCTATTGAGCAAGTCATTTAACAAGGCATCGGGCAAACCATTGGATAAGCTATTGAGCAATCCATTTCTGTCACTGGACAAGCCATTTGATGAACAATTGTACAAGCCATTAGTCAACTCTAGAGAAATGCTTCAGATAAGCCATTGCAGTCATTGGACCAGTCATTGGATGAGCCATTGGACAAGCCATTGCAACCATTAGTCAAGTCATGAGAAATTCTTTGAATAGACCATTGCAGTCATTGGACGAGTCATTGGATGAGCCATTGCAGCCATTATTGATCTCATGGGTAAGTCTTTGAATAATCATTACAGCCATTAGATGAGTCATTGCAGGAGTCTTTGCAGCCACTAGACAAGCCACTGGGAAGGCCATTGCACTCATTGTATGTGCCATTGCAGCAACTGGACAAGCTCAGCTCAACTTTGGCTGTTCAAAGGTAAACCCATCCTCACCAAATAACATGGTAAACCACTGGTGTCACTAGATTTTTGCCAAAAATATTTTCATCCCTAATTTTTCACCGCCTCCCTAAGGACACTTTTCCAAAAACAAAGCACTTCTACACCAGAAGATACCGCTGCTTAATTCCTGCGCCATAATCTACTGTTTTTCTTTTAGACCGTCTCAGAAGTGAAGAAGCAGCTCATAAAGTGACCCAGTCTACTGACAATGGCAGGCAATTGTGAATCTAAGTTTGGGATTTTCTGGGGGGGTTACTCAAACTTAAAATCCATGATTGCCACAACAATGTAACCAATGTGAACATAAGAACACAATGCACAGAGTGGATATTTATAATTCCTGACTTCAGTAGGTTTGCAACTTCCTCCTATTACTACCCTGACCATCTAGGCAGGATGTGAGTTGCTCAAACCCAGCCATGCGGAAGATCACGACCCCCTGCCATGGCGTCCTGCAAGCTGAATGTGGCCTGAGACATGAATGGCGTGCCAGAAAATATAAATAATATTTAAAAATAGAAATATAAAGAGGGCAGTGCAGGAATATGCAGACGGTACTCATACAAACCATTATGTTTTTAGAAGACGACATTTCTACTCATGATAGGGAGAAAAAGATATGGCCGGGCTTTAACAAAGGGAAAAGCGGCCCCTTTACCTGTGCTGCCCATAGGCACAAGTGCACTAAAACTATCCCTGCCTTTAGTAAATCCCCATCATCATGTCTTGATTTCTGTGAGCTGTCTGGATAGTTGACTTACCTTTTTCTTTGACTTCGGTGAACCTAAAAGTAGAAACAGCACCAAAAGGAAGAACAAGAGAAAGAGAAATAAACATTAGAAAGTTCTGCATGAACAGATCAGCTTTGGAGGCCAGTAAGCAAAAAGATTCGCACCTCCGGAACGGCCGATATCAGTTTCCTGCAGGTCGATTGCCACCGGGTTCTCTTTTCCAACATGGTTGTCCAGGTCAGACATGCTGATATTAGTCCGGTAACTTCCAACAGAGACCAAATCTGTGGAGGGAAGAAGACATAACAATGGGAATATGAAGGCTGCCATTGCTGGGAACGCCAATGCCACTGGCTGATTTCATTCCTAATTCACCGACCCGGGAACATGAGAGCGGCTCAGGAAGTTGGAGGGGACACTAGTAGTAGTGAGGGCTACCAAGCAGCATGACACCCATCAAATGCAACTATTATGTTCACAAATGGTAACACTTGCCTGTATTCTTCCTTTTTCTGAACCTGAGGAATAAGAACACAGCACAGACCACCAATACAGCGACGCACACGGAGACCACGGCGGCAGTGACGGTTCCGCTCTTGCTGCTGTCGGTGCTGGAAATGGACCATGAAAAGTTGTATTCAATAAAGAGTCACAAAGCCTTAAAGAGACACAAACTTTCTGAATGAGGGGATGATTGTCGGTCAAGCACCTACAATTTTTTAGTTGGGGAGGAGTGGCTGGAATCTGATTTTCAAGCTTAAACTGGTAGTCCTGGAAGGCGGCCCTTCCATCTCTGTCTTTGTATTGACCTGTCAATATGATGGGTGGCATTTAAGGTCGATAGGGGAATAGAAGGCTGTAGAGTTAAGAGTATAACAAGAAAACTCTTTCCCCTTTTAAGCGTATGTGAGGCCAAGTAAATAACTTTTTGGTTTTGGATAAAGTAGGGAATGGCTAAGACCTCTGTAAGATTTGCTTCCCTTTACTTCCTGTCCCAGAAACGTAACAGGAAGTAAGAGGGAGAGCCTCCAAATCAATGGAATATTCAATTTTAGATAGTTTTCACAAGGACAGGCTTATCCATTGCAGAATTTTCCATCATTCTGTGTACCAGTGACAACTCAAAAATGAATCCCCCATAACTTTTTGTTCCAGAGAAAAGGGTCACCAGGACCATTTACATAGTCTTCAATGGCTTTGCATACACTGGGTATAGTGTTGCCTATGGTGACAATGGTGGCTATCAATTTTCTCTCCTTTGCTTTAAATTGTGATTGAAGCATGACCCCCAGGGGCCGGGCTGCATTCACCAGAGAAAAAAAAAACATGTGATGATGGCCTCTGAAGGTGATGGTTTTGCCCAGAACGGCTGACTGATGGACAAGAAGTCACACCTGTGGTCACATTGAATTAGGACATATGTATTTCAGAATCCTGCTGCACTTCTTACCGGGTATTCCTGTCAGCGTGGGTGCTTGAAGTGACCGCGGATGGCGCCGCCAATACTGAAACTTGTTAAAGATGTCACCAGCACACCATATTGAAGTGAAGAACACGTCTGTTTATTGACGCTTCATGCCAAAACCAACAGACGTGTTCTTCACTTCAATATGGTGTGCTGGTGACATCTTTAACACATTGAATTGGGCTCCCAGCAGTTCTATGAGGAAATGGAAACATTTGGACAAGCATTGTATTCTCTGGACACTTCATTCATGAAACTTACTTCCAATTGTTCCACCACCAAATGGCTGATCATTCTTCTACACTTTACTGCACCATACTGGCACTGTGTAAAACAGATGTCTCCACAGAAGAATTCAGGACTAACCTGGGAGGGGTGTCACTGTCAACCGCTTCCACATTTTTTGAGCCTCCACCAAAGTTTGCCCGTCCGTTGATATTGACTATGTCCCTTGGTGCTTCTGGGGTAAGAAAAGATAGGCAGAAAAGAAAAGATAAGATTTAGTCAACAACAACAAAGCAATTCATCACTCTCTCCAATCCTTGACAATAAAAATGGCTGTCGGCATTAGAGGTTGAACATACACTATATTACAAAAGTATTGGGACGCCTTTATACGCACATGAACTTTACTGACATCCCAGTCTTAGTCCATAGGGTTCAATATTGCGTTGGCTCCTCCCTGCCGCTACAACAGCTTCAACTCTTCTGGGAAGGCATCCACAAGGTGTAGGAGTGTGTCTATGGGAATGTTGGACCATTTGTAATGTCAGGTACTGATGTTGGAGGAGAAGGCCGGGCTCGCAGTCTCCGCCTCTAATTCATCCCAAAGGTGTTCTATCGGGTTGAGGTCAGGACTCTGTGCGGCCAGTCACGTTCCTCCCCCCCAAACTCCCCCATCCATGTCTTTATGGACCTTGCTTTGTGCACTGGTGCGCAGTCATGTTGGAACAGGAAGGGATCATCCCAAAACTCCTCCCACAAAGTTGGGAGCATGAAATTGTCCAAAATGTCTTAGTATGCTGATGTCATAAGAGTTCCCTTCACTGGAACTAAGGGGCCAAGCCCAACCCCTGAAAAACGACCCCCCACCATAATCCCCCCCCCCCCAAACTTTACACTTGTCACAATGCAGTCAGGCAAGTACCGTTCTCCCGGCAACCGCCAAACCCAGACACGTCCATTGGATTGCCAGACAGAGAAGCGTGATTGGTCACTCCAGAGACCACGCCTCCCCTTCTCTAGAGTCCAGTGGCGGCGTGCGTTACACCACGGCATCCCACGCTTTGCATTGCACTTGGTGATGTACGGCTTGGATGCAGCTGCTTGGCCATGGAAACCCATTGCATGAAGCTCTCTATGCACTGTTGTTGTGCCAATCTGAAGGCCACATGGAGTTTGGAGGTCTGTAGCTATTGGCTCATGCCGACAGTTGGTGATTTCTGCGCGCTGTGCGCTTCAGCATGCGCTGACCCCGCTCTGTGATGTGACGTGGCCTACCACTTCCTGGCTAAGTTGCTGTTGTTCCCAGTTGCTTCCACTTTGTGATAATACCAGTAACAGGTGACCGCGGAATATTAAGTAGCCAGGAAATGTCACGGAACACCTGAATCCAATGATTTGGAGGGGGGGCCCAATACTTTTGGTAATATAGTGTATGTCTATGGCTATCCAACACACAGAAGATTATCTTTTGGGTGTATTTGGGCATAAACATAAACGTGTTTATACAACTGTTATTACATTTTTTAACTTTTTAACAAGAATACCTCTCTTGCGACCAGAACTCACCTTCAACTATGAGGCGCACGGCTATAATTTCCCCATATCTGATGTCATGTTTGACACCACACCAGTAGAACCCGCTGTCCTTTTGGGATACGGACTCGATGTTGAGCGCCAGCTCCTCGGTCTTGCAGGTGGGCAACTGAGTATCTTGAGTATCTTCCACGTTGCTCATAGGTTTACACCCGTGGTTGCTCCAAAGGCACCAATACTTCTTGGTACTTTTGAACCGACAGGGATAGGAGCAGGTGAGCTTAACCGGATCACCGGCAACCGCTCGGACAAGTCTGCTTCCGGACAGTCCTGGGAGATTTTCTGCAGAAAGATACAACTTATATTATACAAAATCTTTCTTTTTGGTGAAATTAAGTCAGTGGTCACAGAATTCCAAACTAACATGGATTTTTATTTTTTCAGAATAGAACAATTTGTATTTTCCTAGATGGGGTGATCTTCCGTCACTTCCTGTCTTAGTGACACTTAGGGTTCTGTTTTGATATGCCCTTCCTGTGTCCCTCACTTCTTGTCTTGAGGACACCCAATGCTACGCATTGAGTTGAACTTCATGTGTCCATATCTCCATATCACAGTCAAACCAAGGGTTCTCCCTTGAGCTGAACTTCCCATATTACTTCCAGTCCTAGTGACACCCAGGAAAAAAATACTTGATTCCTGTTTCTCTTCAGTAATATTGGCAACAAGTCCTATTTTAACAGACAAGCTGTGAAGGTGGGAACCTTACATGTTTCTCCTTATTTCATCTCCCAGGGACACCCAGAGCTCTGCCATGAGCTGAACTTGATATCTCCAATTGCATCTTGTCCAGGTGCCCCTCCAGAGCTCAGATATGGGCTAAGCTTCCAATTACCCCTTATTTCCTGTCCTATTGACACCCAGGGCTTTACTATGAGCTGAACTTCCTGTGTCTCCTCACTTTTTGTTCAGATGCCCCACAGGTCTCTCCTATAAGCTGAACTTCCCATATTACTTCCAGTCCTAGTGACACCCAGGACAAAAAATACTTGCTTCCTGATCTGTTTCTCTTCAGTAATATTGGCAACACTTCCTATATTAACAGCCAAGCTGGGAAGGTGGACACCTTACCTGTTTCTCCTTATTTCATGTCCCAGTGATACCCAGAGCTCTGCCACGAGCTGAACTTGATATCTCCAATTGCTTCCTGTCCAGGTTTCCATCCAGAGCTCAGATATGGGCTAACCTTCCAATTACCCCGTATTTCCTGTCCTAGTGACACCCAGGGCTTTACTATGAGCTGAACTTCCTTTGTCTCCTCACTTTTTGTTCAGATGCCCCACAGGGCTCTCCTATAAGCTGAATTTCCAATGCCCCTTCGTTACCTGTCCAAATTACATCTCGAGTATGAGCTGAACTTCCTGTGTCCCATCACTTTTTGTCAAGATGCCCCACAGGGCTCTCCTATAAGCTGAACTTCCAATGCCCCTTCACTTCATGTCCACATGACATCTCGAGCTCCGCTCTGAGCACCTCTCTGGATTCCATTCTTATCAACATATTAGTCCCAGTCCCCAGGACACTCTTATCCTTGGCCCACACTCAACATGCCCAACTTCTAGGCAGTCCTGCCAGTATCACGCCTACTTTCTGGGCAATCCGGGCCCTAAATATGCAGGAGCCACCCACTCACAGACACAATAACCCTAATTAATACTAAGGATGATGCTGTGATCCCGGGACACAGCTGTGGACACAGGACCAGCAGGACAGAGGCCTGAGATGTGCCACATTTGACATCTATAGGATTCTATTTTCCATGTAGTCCTTTGGAGAATCCATTAGGGGCTGAAAAATAAGACAAGGAAAGGAAGCAAGATGTTCAACCTACAGCCATGCCTTGTGTGTCCCCTGGACAGGAAGTAAAGAGGAAATCCACCCAATGTGGACTTAGAGAGCAGTTAAAAAAACCTGACAGAGCATCTACCCTCCCTCGATCTAAGGAAGGAAACAATTGACCAAGGACTTAAGGTTCCCCACTCACCATCTGAGATCCTGACCTGCACGGCAGACGTTTGGTCATGCATTTCATTGGCCATTACACACCAGTACCAGCCTTCGTCCTCTTTAGAGATGTTGTCCATGAGGACCTGCATCAAGCCGCTCGTGGAATTGTCATGGATGAGTACTTTTCCTTCGTAGGCGTCCATCACGTCCCCGTCCTTTGTTATGATCGGATTGCAGACTCCGTCTTGCAGTTTGCACCAGAACTTCTTCGTGTAATTCTTTTTGGGGTCGTAATTGCACTCAGCGGAGAGGGACCCTCCCAGCCTGGGGGTCAATCGTCGGGACCCCTGAGGAGTATCCGTCTCTGCAGAAAATAGACAGTGAGTCAGAATTGACTTATGTACACCAGGCCATTATTCCTGAATTTCCCCAAAAAAGCAGCACCTCAAGCCGGGAAATTCAGGAAGCTAATAGAAAAGGTACTTGTAGTAGCTGCATGTGGACTACATATCATGGATCTCTAAAGCCTACAAAACCGGATTAACTGTTAATGTTATATATCTGCCTACAAGTCAACTTTTGTTGAGTTGAATTTGGATTTACTTTATTATAAAGCTGAACTCAAGCCAACATGGAGTTGGAGAATGTATATGGGACGGTTCTTATCTTCCAAAGGGCTTGCAGTCTGGTCCAGCCATCCTGAGATTTACACGGCCCCATCAGATGGCACCTGACCTGACTGACTGATGTGACCTGACTTTTCTCTACTGTAGTTAATAGGTCACCCATACCTCATCCTGTGATTGGACAGCAACTAATCAACATCATACGGATGAGCTATCCCTCTGCGCTCTCCTCCCGTCAGCATGCTCAAAGGCAAATATCGGGACAGATTCGGGTACTTACACTAGCTGTACATTTCCTTATTTTTTTAAATGTATCGAATGTCCATAGCAGTTGTCTCACCTTCGTTGATTCTCAAATCATAAGTAGGCGCATCTATGGAGTCTTCAGGGTTGTCGGAACTGCAGGTATAGTGCGCGGCGTCTGAATTCCGCACCTGCACCATTTTGACGATGAACATTCCCTCCTTCTGGCTGTCAGCTGTGACTCTCCCGTCGTAACTGGAGCCTGTCCTCCCTGTGCTGTCGATGACATTGACGCAGCCATTTTTGGTGACCTTGCACAGGTATCTCCTCTGTGTGGTGGCCGGCTCATTATATTTACAATTGATGATCGCGGTGCCCCCCAGTTGGGTATAGATCAGCTCGGCGTCCTTTGTGATGACGGAATCTAGTGGAGAAATAATGGAGAAAAGGGTAACAACCACTGGGGGCCACAGAAAAAACCTTCAATGCTCATTGTGGACAATGTGGCTAAATCTCCACCCTTCTGAGCCCAGCATAAGCCTGTGGTTTGCCCATACAAGGGTTCATTCACTTGACCTGCTTGAGCTATTGAGGTCTGTAAGCAACAAACCTCTTCCTTTCCTTTTTTTCAGCAAAGCAATTAAGGAGATCTAAACTCTAACTGGATATCAGTGCTGCTGATCTCCTCCAGCCTCACTTCCTGTCTACCTGCACTCACTCGAACTACAGCTGCTCCTCATTTCTCTTGACCGGCTTCCTGATAATGACAACGATGGACCATGCCTGTGCTATGGGTGACGGCACAGCCACATTTGTCCACCATCAGTGAATGTGTATGTGATAGGGCGACAGTGCAGGGGCACAGCCACGGAGGTTCAGCAAAACAGTTGGGCAATACCATGTGGGTGGTCTACATGCAAATACAAGATCAAGTGTAGTATCTGTTCTTATCAGTGTGCCGGAGGGGAAAGGAGCCGCTGTACTGGCCTTATGGCTTGTATGGCTGGAATATGAGTATGCTGCCTGGTGATGGGGGTTCCTAAAAGGTCCTGGCTATGGGAAGGAAACCGAAGTAAGCGTCCACTCACGTATAGAGTGGGGGTCGGGAGTACTTCTCGGGTGCTGGGATCTGGCAGGGCCCAATTCCTCCTGATTTGGACGGCTCTACCTTCTCTGGCCATCGGCTGGGAAGGCACGAAGCCTGTGGGGTTCAAGCCCCCTGGAGTGGTGACCCAGGGGTGTCCTAGGAGCACTATGAGTTTGGGACCCCACTGTGTGAACGGCACTTTGGCCATGACACCTTTGCTTTTTGATGCACATCGACCTTATGGGCTAGGCCTTTCGGCTGAGACCAGGGGTAATATTTATTACCGGGCCGCAAGGCACATTGGCATTTATTTATTTTTCTTCACTTTGTATGTGCACCTTTCAATATTTGTTATGTGTTTTTCACTCCACAGGATGGAGGGTGTGTGGCACTGAAGTCTAGGGGAAGGATGTGTGGCCCTTAGGTTCCTTACTCCCCTGAATCGGGGGTCTCCCTTCAGCTTTGGCTGACCACAAGGAATGGTTCCTCCTGGTTTCAGCCAGGTAGACACGAGTGCCTTGTCTTTGTCAGGAGTCTTGTGCCCCGGGGAATCAGGGAACTCTTTGGGAGACGGGCCCTTTAGATTGCACCCCTTCTGTGCACTTTTCTGTGTGTGTTCACATGCACTTATTTTGTTCACTTTTTGGGTGTTTCAATGCACGATCCACGGGCTTAAAAAAAACATGCAAATACAGCCGGCCTTGGACCGCCCACTGCTCCAGACTGATATCCATACATCAAGGCATTTTAATATTTGCATAACTCCTTAGGGTTGCCACCTGTCCAGGATTCACCCGGAAAGTCCGGGTTTGGAATGCTGTGTCCGGGTTTCATGGCAGCAGAAACCCGGACACAAGAGGCAAGGCAGACAGGGGCAACCAAAATTAAGATAGGGGCTACTGGCCCCCCACTGAAAATAGTCTCAACTGTGAAATTTACAAATGAATGGGTGACGCTATTTACATATGCATAAGCCACGACTCATTCTCCCCAAAAAATGTCCACAGGTCACTAGAGTGTGTTCGGGTTTCGCTTGAAGAAAAGGTGGCAACCCTATAACTCCTCCCAAGAGCCAGCTCACTGCTTGCATCAGGGCTGAGGGCGAAAGTACTGATGCAGGATGCTGTGATGTTTTCAGCAAGCTATGTACATCACCCTGCCGGCCCCTCCCACCAGTCATGATCTGCCTGCATTGCGAAGCACAAAGTCCCAAATAAAATAAGATTTGTATTGAAAATGGAAACATTAGTTTTAAAAATGTCATTAGCATGTTGATGGGGTGGGCGGGGGGGGGATGGGCAGGGAAGGCAAACTATAAGGAGATTAAACTTCAGCTTTAAGGTGAGCCTGGTGGATATGTGAACCTTTTTGAGCAGAATTGGGGTGTCAGTGGGGTTGCCTGCCTCCGACGTAACAATTACCTTCAACAACGGACAGAGTAACGACGTTTTTGATCCGGGTGTCATCCAACCCAATGCCACATATGTAAGTGCCTTCATCGCCCTTTTCCAATCCATTGATGGTAACAGTAAAGAAGGTTTTCTCCTTCATGTCCAGCAATTCGATGCGGTTCGCGAAGCGGTCGGCCGTGTAGCCGCTGTCAGAAACCACCGTGTTCTTGCATCTTCCGGGGCGCGTGCCTTGCAGGCAGCAGAACTTGCGGGTGTATTTGTTGGCCGGTGGATTGCCTGAGTAATAACATTGGAAAGAGACCTTGCCGTACTGCGTCCCCGTCACTTGCCTCGGACAGGCAATTTGATCGGACTCTGTGATGAAACAGGAAATGATGGAAAACATGAATCTGTCATTTAAAAAAAAACAGCTAAATACATTCCAGGTGCATCAAGGCAAAAGGTCAGCAAAGTCTTACAGTTCATTTCTTTCTAGAGCAGCCATAGCCTGAGTAGAAAAGTCCTGTCCCCTGCCAGCATGCTCATCTCTCTGTCAGCCCGCTTTCTCCTCCTATCAGCATGTTCCTTGTTAACACATGAGCACGGCAGGACCACCTTTTGGCTCCTTTACTTATTTTGCTTTGCAAACTAGCCATAGAGTTATTACAGTCAAGTTAACTGATGCAGGCTGAGGATGATAATTTTGCTTGCGCTTTTAGGCATAAGTTCTCTCTGGTCACAAAAGGGTTAAAATTAGGGTTGCACAGATACCAAGTACAGTACTCGGTACAAGTACGAGTACATGTACCGATACTTTTGAGCTCCAAGACGACACTAGAGAAAAATTCAAAAATTAGGAGGCCGCTGTCATTTGTAAGGAGCACACGGAGCTCCCGGGATTTGTACATCTCAGTTACAATGTATGATTTTGTTTTTATAAATATATGTAAGGGGATGCACCGATACCAGTTTTGCGAGTACGAGTACTGATACTTGCCGAGTACTTACAAGTACGAGTACTGATACATTTTTGTTTAGTGTCATGTGACAGTTTTTCTAAAACAATACAGACTAATGATTTCAGGACAGTGGTGGAGCGCCAGAGCCCGATCCCAGCTGACAAGTATCGGCACTGGTACTCAAAAGGTATCTGTGCATCCCTAGTTAAAATCATATCTCTTTTTTTTTGTCTGTTTTTGTACAATATGCACACAGTCTTTGGTTCACACATGCACATTAAATACTTGGCAAATGATTCCCAGAGCATTATGGGCTAGCTAGAAACCAGGAGCGTCCCGAGGCCGGGTGTCACCCGGAGCGTGTATCGGCAGGGCCGGATTTACTCTCTCTGCTGCCCCAAGGCCAGGTTCCTCAATGCACCCCCCTACCCGCCAACCCGCCCCCTCATAGAGAACAGCAGACCTGCAGGTTGCATGCAAGTGATCTCAGCGACATCGTCGGATCACTTGTACAAAACAAGCGGCGGCTTCCCCGCTGTACATTTAGCTCTGCTTGCCCAAAGCCGGGCTAAATGTAGAAAACAACTAGCCGCCCCGCGCCCGGAACTGAATGTCCCAGGCATCCGGAGATAGGAATTCCACACCCCTGCTGCCCCTCTACTCCCTGCTGCCCCAAGGCCGGGCCTTGGTTGGCCTTGTGGGAAATTCGGCCCTGGGTACCTGGTGACACCCTGCCGTGACGTCATTGTGCATCCATAGCCATCTTGGTGATACCTGTCGGCGGTCACCTTGGTGATGGACACCGGCGGAGCTAGGAGGGGACATTAACCCGGTAGGATAAGGTATGCCACGACCGAGTGCCTGACTTTTCAGAGGGGGTGACACCAAAATGACTGGTGTCACCCCTCCACTGGATCCCCTTCATCAGGCAAACAAGTCACTTGTTTGCCTGATGAAGTGGATCCTGTGAGACCCTGGAACGTTGTATAGAGTGTTCTACTTGGAACTAGTATGTTAATAAACACGTATTGAACTTGCCTTGGAGTGCCGGTGTCCATCCTTTACTGACATTTTGTTGGAAGCCACCAGCTGACACCTGCTGCATCCACCCTCCATTTTTGGAGCAGCGGCTCTGAGTGCGATGGGTACACGGACTGTACCCCTCCACTAGTGTCACCCGGATGTGGGCTGGCCCCGCTGCACCCCCTGTACCCCCCTAGTGACACCATTGCTAAAAAACACAACACAGCAGATGCTGTGCATTTTTAGGCTGCCTTTGTCCGATTGAAACCTCAGATGCAACCGTCCGTCACTGCTCTGATCCACTCACTTGTGTCTAGATTTCACTTTGAGCTATTGAGGTCTGCAGACAATGGGGCTTGTTTCAGGATATTGAGAATGATACATTGTTTATGTAAGGGAGGCTTGCATGCTGGCCAATCAAATAGCTGAAGACTCATAAGAAGACCGGGACGTAGATGGAAGCGTGAGGGAGGAGAGCCTGGACATCAAAGGAGGGGATCGCTAGCACAATATGAATAAAAAGCTCTTGGGGCCCCCCCCCTTTTTTTTTTTTTTACTACTGCTTGATTCATGCAGCTTCAACTGCCTAAAGGGGGAGAGAAGAGGGCAAAATAAAGGTTGTCGTAACATCCATAACTAGTGCCTGTGAGTCACATGCAACTGGTGACGACGTTTCGCAACTTATCCAAGTGGCTTCCTCAGTTCTAAGTTGGGTCAGGAACATACCCCAGTATTGACAGCCACACAGAGAACTCATTCACCCGAATCCAATCCCCACGGAATGTGTCTAGACAGATGTTGATTGTCTACCAACGTGGTGATACCAGATTAGAATCAGAACGTTGTGTTTTCACAAACTATCCCACGCCCCATCGTCTTCTCCAACAATCAACCATAAAGCGTCCGTCGAATGCCTATTTTCAATGGCACGTGATGCCTTCACCTTTTTCCAGAAGCCGCGCCAATGATAACCATCTTTTTTCGCAAGGTGTGGGGAAGTATTTTGTAGCCGCCCAGAATTATTGGGCAATATCAACAGCTCACCAGTGATGACTCATGACACTTCCCTGAAGAAACTTTCCCTTTTGATTATTTTAGGCAACTCACCAGCTCCGGGGATCAAGAGGACGCAGGATAACCCAAAGAGAAACACTGCGGTATTCATGGCGAGCCGGAATGAAGAGCAGGACCCGGTTCTCTGTTTTTGGTCCCCAGTTTACTGGATCTGTAAGAACAATGAGAAGGTTATCTATGGCAAAGGAAAAATACTGAATCAGGATCTATGAGCACGAAGGAGGAACTGATACACTTGGCCACTTACGTAACATGGGATAGATATAGAATAAAAAAAAAGGGGCAAGACGCTTCCAAAATTAGAGGAGAACATTTACCAAGACCAAGCTGCAGTAGAATTTAAGGAAACTTAAAGTGTGCTTAAGGCATGCTAAAGATGCCTCTCAACCAGTGACAGCCAGTCAAGCATGCCGTAAGGACTATTTAACACATTTTAGAGAGGGACTGAACACTGGAAGCCGTGCCCAAAGAAGGGCAAGCAGAGGACACTGGACTAGTCACTGCCAATTGCTGAAGGTTCCCAATTCCCTGATCTTTTCCCCAGTACTGAATTCCCATGCATTGTTCTGCATTGTGTCTCTGTGTGAGGGGGTGGCCATTTTGGTTGGGGCACTGCTTTGATTTCTCCTATCAGAGTGGCCCTCCTGATGACAGGTATTTTTATGACTGATGGGGTCACACAGATACACAGAATAGGAGAAGCAGAAGCAGGGAGATCCTTGCACTGCATGTCTTCAAGTACAGCTTCCCCTCCAGCAAGGAGATCAGTGAGCAGAACAGTAATGACATCACCAAATCTCACTCCCAATCTGGTGAGCCGGCAGTGCGTTAGAAGATCTCATGCAGCAGATATACAGCTATGAGGATACAGAACAGGAGCACCTAGACACAGGGTTTTCATGGTACTGCTTAGGCAGAATTAGCAACTGATAAGAAGTGAGAGAGAAGGATGACCTTGTCAGTCTTCTGCTGCTCTTTCACTGCCCAATCAGGAGCTGGAAACAGAGTCCTGACAGTGTGTTGCTGAAGCTTCATTGTCAAACCATCAGGAGGTGACACCACTGCATTCCTTAACTCCAGTAGAGAAAGTAGAGTCACCCACCCAGATTTGCTGTCTGACAAAGGTGTATGAATCATAAAAGAACAGGTCTTCAAATATTTTGCCAGTTTAAATATTTGTCATGGGTCCAGCTGTAGCCAAAAGTGGGAATACTCTGTGATATAAGAAGGGCCCCATTCCGATCCTGATTTACCAGTAGTGTATATGCAGTGTACAGCCAGACAGGCGTTTATCTAACGCAAGGCAAACTAGGCGTTTGCCTAGGGCGGCCCTTTCCAGGGTGGCGGCAGAAAACGCTGCCCCAAACCAATGAGGTGGACAGTGCCGGACTTGCCTTAAGGCATACTGAGCACTTGCCCAGTGGGCCGAGGCTGGGCTGCACAGAATCAGGCAGCAGCGGCTGCCTAATGAAGCAAACTAGGCGGCCGCAAGGCAATAGGAGCGACTGCCTAATTAGAGGCCCGGTGGAGGGGAGGGCCTAGTGAGATGTAGTCCAGCTGGCTTTGTACAGGAGGTGGAGGAGAAGCAGCGGGTGGCTCGGGGCTGGCCATAGCATGTGATCTGATGGCGGGATGTCCCAGAAGCAGGCTGGGGTACTGCAATGTATCCTGTTGGTACTGATGGCACTTCGAGCTGCAGGTAAGAGGAGAAGCACATGTATGCAGGGAAAGGGACTATGCACAGCCCACCATAGACCCCACACAGCCCACCATAGATCCCCGCACAGCCCACCCTGAAAACTCTGCACAGCTCTCCTGAGACCTCATTCAGCCCACCTGAGACCATGCACAGCTCTCCTGAGACCCCGTGTGCGCTGTATGCAGTGACTGACAGGTTGTGCAAAATGTCCTAAACAGGATGGGGTGGGGCAAATTTAGATTGTGGGGGGTGCCTGAGTTTAGTCTTGCCTAGGGCAGCACAAAACCAAAATACACCACTGCAGCCAGAGGCATTCAATAGGAAGGGAAGAAGAGGTTGGACTCTAATTTCTGCTTCTTTAAAGAGAACAGCACCATCCATAATCCTACCCCTGCAGGTTACCTATAAATAGCATAAATATATAAGTCCTCCCAACCCAGGTAAAGGTTACGCCCCCGAGGACCTCCACATTTCTGGCCCGGTTGAGAAAAAGCTGATTCAGAAACCCAGCGGCGTCCTTTGATCGGGAAGAAGGAAAACCTTATCTTTCCTTTAGTTATATTTGTTTATCAACATCTTTTTTTTATTTCATTTGCTGGGCGATAAAACCGATTCTGGCGAAGCAGTCAGAATGCAATAGAACTGTAATCATTAAACAATGCAACAGATAAACAAAGTTTGCGAGCCCAATATTTACTCCCGGAAACATCTCAAGGATTGATTAAGTCTATATAAGAGACTGCTGAACCCGTGCCAAAAAAACACAGCAAATACGTGAGGTGAGGTGTGTTTTGTCTCTGGTCGGGTATTTCCCTGGAACATTTTACTTCCTTGTACAGTGCCCACGTATTAATATATTACCATATCGCTTCACTTAGGCGAGATCAAGTTCAGGAACAGGTGAAGCAAAACAGAACATTGTCTCCTTTATGCTTACTACCTTCATTGTCTACAATCATAACTTTATTTTATATCTTTTATATCATATATCATACACAGCAGACACCATGGGGCCAAAGGTTTGTGGACACCTGACCATCACACCCGGGTCAGCTTGTTGGGCATCCTATTTCAAACCCATGGCCATTAATATGAAGTTGCCCTCTTCCCTTCTCTCCATGGCCAATAATATGAAGTTGCCCTCTTCCCTTCTCTCCATGGCCAATAATATGGAGTTGCCCTCTTCCCTTCTCTCCATGGCAATTAATATGAAGTTGCCCTCCTCCCTTCTCTCCATGGCCAATAATATGGAGTTGCCCTCCTGCTTTCTCTCCATGCCCAATAATATGGAGTTGCCCTCCTCCCTTCTCTTCATTACTAATAATATGGAGTTGCCCAGCTCCCTTCTCTCCATGGCCAATAATATGGAGTTGCCCTCTTCCCTTCTCTCCATGGCCAATAATATGGAGTTGCCCAACTCCCTTCTCTTCATGGCCAATAATATGAAGTTGCCCTCTTCCCTTCTCTTCATTGCTAATAATATGGAGTTGCCCTCTTCCCTCCTCTTCATTGCCAATAATATGGAGTTGCCCTCTTCCCTCCTCTTCATTGCCAATAATATGGAGTTGGCCCCCCTTTGTGTCTATAACATCCTTCACTCTTCTAAGAAGGATTTCCACAAGGCTTTGGAGGGTGTCTGTGGGAATTTGTGCCCATTTGTGAGGTCAGGTAACGATGTTGGATGAGAAGACCTGGCTCATGATCCGCATTCTTCTTTATCCCAGAGGTGTTCAGAAGGGTTGAGGTCAGCACTCTGTGCAGGACACTTGAGTTCCTTCACACCAAGCTGGTCACACCATGTCTTTATGGAGCTGGCTTTGTACACAGGGGACAGTCATGGTGGAACAGAAAAGGGTCTTCACCAAAATGTTACCACAAGGCTGGAAGAGCACAACAGTAGCATTAATAGTGCCCTTCACTGGAACAACTGAACACAATAATTTAAAAGGGGGTCCACATACTTTTGGCCATAAAGTGCAGGTGTGATGATCAGATGTCCACAAACCTATGACCATGACCATATAGTGTTTGTTGTTAAGGAAATGAGTATTGAATGGAAAAAAATGACAGATTCTCTTAATAGGGCACCTTACCAAACTCTCATTGATACTTATTGTTGCCTCCTCGTTGTTTTCTTGTGGAAGCCCTGAGCCTAATCCCTGTGTAAGCTCCATGGCGGTAATGGGTAAGGGTGAAAGTTTACCCGTGACTGTTTCTAGGCTGGTGATTGGTTACACTGCATGGTGAGAGTGATGGGAGAAGGTCACATGATCCCCATAAATTGAAATCTCTGCAGTCCCAGAGTTGAAGGAATATGTGGAGGAGTGCCGCAGCTTCCAATGCACATTGTGAGTTGTGGCAGCTTCTAATACACATTGTGAGTTGTGGCAGCTTCCAGTACACATTGTGAGTTGTGGCAGCTTCTAATACACATTGTGAGTTGTGGCAGCTTCCAGTACACATTGTGAGTTGTGGCAGCTTCTAATGCACATTGTGAGTTGTGGCAGCTTCTAATGCACATTGTGAGTTGTGGCAGCTTCCAGTACACATTGTGAGTTGTGGCAGCTTCCAGTGCACATTGTGAGTTGTGGCAGCTTCTAATGCACATTGTGAGTTGTGGCAGCTTCCAGTACACATTGTGAGTTGTGGCAGCTTCCAGTGTACATTGTGAGTTGTGGCAGCATCCAATACACATTGTGAGAAGCTCACAGTGTGCAGTGAAAACAGAGGAAGCTATTTCAGTCCAGGAGAGGAGCCGGTACAACTGTGCAAGACTGAAGGGAAGGCCGGAGTTCAGCTTTAACACCTCCCTACTCTATCCAAGATTGAAGTTTTGGTTATACGTACACTTTTCTATGGGTGAAGGGTATTAGTTCTATGGAAGTGCATGACATAACAGCCAATGCCTAAGAAATAATAGTCTATCGTTTTTTGCATGTTCCATCTGCAAGTGCCGACATGTCTAATTCTGACTCTTTCTATTGAAGGATTATGAATCGTGCGCCTTCCCCACTTGTTTCTGGAAATTAAACATCACTTTAGATCTGTAGATCGCGATTGTCAGCCAGTGTGTGTAGACGCAGCCCCGCGTACGCTGGATTATCCCCCCATATGCAGCAATGGAGAATTTCTATCAGCGGACACCAATAGGATCTGCCTGAGATTCCCCAAGGGGCCAGTTCTCTGTAGCTTGTATCAATGTTCCCCTGACACCTTCATGCCTCCTACATGACAAGGCTGGAGGGTGAATGGAGGTAAGTGTTTCATTTTTATTGTCATGCAATTGTCATATCCAGTTCTTACAGGTGGTTTAGGTCTGAAGTCTCTTACCCCATTAAAGGGTTAGTCCATCCGAAATTCATATGTTGGAGCTCGGTAAAGACTGTATAATTAAACGCCCTGAAGGTTCCTTTTATCCCTTGAGGAATCTATTGGTGAAATCTCTACAC